GAGGAGTGAAAAAACTGTAAAGGATCTCCATTGATTTGACGCAGCGATGAAGGTCCTAGGAATCGATTTCAGCTGCGCCTTGGGGGCCCTCGGCGACGGCCACTTCCCCGACAAAGATTGCTTGCTGCCCCTTATTTCCAAGATTCTCGGCTACGCCATCGTTGCCGCTTCCACCACCGTCAAACTCCCTCAGGCACTTTCTTTCTCCTCCCTTTGCTTTTCGCCTATCATCGTTAATTACTTACAGCAATTACCTTTTGTTTTCGTTTCACAATCTCTGTTGAAATTGTTGTATTTTATAAGAACAGAAGGCAGATCTCTGATATGGGCACCATCGATTAACGGGTTAAAAAAGGATTTTATGTTCTCAATTAGTGTTTGTTTAGTAATTTTTTTGGCAAAAGATTTGAAATTGTTGGATTTTGAACTAAAACCCAAATCCTTTTTCCCAGAAAATTATCTAAATATTTGAGTTTTCTAGATTTTTTGCATTTTTTGCTGACCCATTAAGTCACTAGCTGTGTGTTTTATGTTCAATCACTCAATTCGTTGTTAAATTTTGACAGTTTAAACTCGATACCAGTTGTTTAATGCCTGCAGATCCTTGAAGTTTTATTGATAAAGTGTTATGGAATGTTGTAACGAATAGAATTTTTTTTCTCTCTTTCAATTCAAAGTCATTGTTAAATTGCCACAGTGTAAACTGGAAACCGGTAGTTTAATTCCCGCATATCCTTCAAATTCGATTATTGACGATTTATGGGATCTAAACTGTTGGAAGGAACAGAATCTTCCTCTTTATGTTTAAGTTTAAAAATGATTATGAATTTCTTGTTAATTAAATAATTATGTGCCATCGCCCTATTTTGTCCTCGTGTTGAAAAGCCTTGCACCGTGTTATGTAGTCGTTTGAATTTATTTTTGACATTGTACACGGTATGGTGCTTTTGTTCTTTGATTGCAGATAATAAAAATTTTGCAACATGGAAGTGTCAGAGGTCTTAGTATTATCTCTTTTGAGCTCGAAGTAGTTGGTTACACCATTGCTCTGGCGTACTGCCTTCATAAAGGGCTTCCGTTCTCAGCTTATGGGGAATTGGCCTTTCTTTTGATCCAAGGTATGTCAAAGGCTTCTTGTACTTTTGTGTCAGTAAACGTATACCAGGGAATTGCTTCATAGAGATATGAGAGTGAAAGTAGAGGTACAGAAGCATGATTTTGACGGTAGAGTGAGTTAGTTTTATCAGATTAGCCATATGTGATTGAACTTTTAGTTTTGTGGCAAACAAAGAGTTGTGATTCGTTGATTATACCTTTATGATGATTTTGACACGTATAGATCTAAACTCTTGGTAAATTTGTTGGGCATTTTGACCTCAATTTTATGGCATTAGGATGAGCTAATTTATAGCACGCGCACAGGATCTAACACAATTTGTTTTATGTTTCTCTTTTACAGCTCTAATATTGATTGCCATTATCTATTATTACTCCCGACCTATGAGTACCAGAACAATGATCACGGCGTTACTGTATCCTTTCTTGAGAATCAGTTCAGCCTTCGCTTTTTTTTTTTTCCTCCTAATCTCTCATTCTGTGTAAGGGAGAAATGTGGTCAACTTCTTCCTTAATTATGATGGTTTTCCAGATATTGTGCTGTAGCACCAACCATATTAGCTGGCCAGATTGATCCTGTTCTCTTTGAGGCTCTATATGTAAGTAGCCGATTTCAAAGGCACCCTGGCCTATAAACTATTGGGATGACAAGCACTTTTCCTTCCTTCCTTGCCTTGTATTCATTTCCATACTCAGCTATTTTTATTCGTAAATATAATCTTTTCTCTTATCTATATGGTTCTTTATGCATAGATGTACTGATGTGGAAACAATCTGATACAGGCATCCCAGCATGCAATCTTTCTCGGTGCCAAGATCCCACAGATATGGGCGAACTTTTCTGTAAGTGGGATTTAATTTAGACGTTTGTCTAGTACTCTTTGTTGATGTGAGCATGGATGATTTGACTGCTTGCCCAAAGTTGTAATTCTGAGTTTGCACGATCTCTGGCATGGCAACCAGTTTAATCTCCTACTACATCAATATTCAGTTCTTTCGGTAATCTCAACCTGTTTTAGCTATTTTTCTGATTCTGCTTAACAATTTCTTGCGCAGAATAAAAGTACAGGGGAGCTCAGCTTCTTAACGAACTTAATGAATTTTGCAGGTTCCATGGGTATGTTAAACATATTAGTAGGGTTATAGGCGTAGAATATAATTGATATATTGGCAGACTCACAGAGTTCTTAACGTTCTTTTGCAGTGAGAGTTTTCACCAGCATCCAAGAACAAGCACCCAAAAGTGGTATCCTTTTTTCATGTCTATCAGATAAGTTGCGTTTTTATTGAAATATAATTCAGCAAAAAAAATTATTATTGTTTTCATAGTCTTAGTCTGTGTAGAAGTAGCAAGTTCTCAGGTTCGCGCATCTTGATTGGGTTCCCTCAGAACCTAGTTACCTCTAGTTTCTTTCTCGTTCCCCTAAAATGACCGACAAAATTGAGTTCCTCATCAAAGATGATCATGACTAGTGTTTGTTTGCATCACCAAAAATAGACACTAAACGTGCACATATATGTATTCGTTCATTTGCTTCTCCTTAATCCTCTACTAGTTCTGTTGGGCTCTGTGATTGGCATCGCAACGAATTTTACCCTCCTGAGTCAGATACTGATATACCAAAAGCAAAAGCCGCGTGCTGAGAAGGGAAAGAAAACGGAGTAGAAAACTGAACCCGAGATGTGGGTAGGTTTGCTTCAGTTAAAGAAGGCAACAGTTCCAGCAAGGAAGTCAGCGAAACACTGCAATTGTGCTCAAGGAAGGAAATGAGCAATCATCGTCCAATTCGTAATATATATTTCTCCAGGTGTTAGCCATTAGTTTGTAGAAAGGAGACGACGTTATCCATCAAACTGTCAGTATTTTTTTGTCCTTTTTTTTTTTTTTTTTTAATGCTAAACATTGAGATTAACATGAAATTATGGCAGATTCTCCTTTTCTTTTTCTTTTTTCGAAGTGAACATCGACTCCTTTTATCATTACATGTCACTATGCTCGTTTTATAGCTTTTGCTTTAGACCAGATTTCTTTTGGATTTGTTTTGATTAATGACGGCTTGTGTTTATAATCATGAATTGTTTACAAATTCAAGGATAGAAAAGAAATTTCCCATCGTTTGGGTGACGCGAGAGTCGTCGTCAAGCGCGGGAGTCCTTGCCCGTAAGCAACGGGAAAGCCTCTTCCTAGAGAAATTATCAGCTATAACCAGTATGCATAGGGTTTCAATTAATCTTACATAGAAGAAACCTTGTCACACCCCATTAGAGCAGTTCCACCGGAGAACAAATAGGCCAGCACTTAGCCAAATTATTGGCCCCGCACCCAGCCATTCCACTCCAGCCCAGCAGATAGGCTGGCATCCAGTCCAAGCTGGTCTCCAGGCCAACCCAAAATTGAAAGAGCCATGGACCGGCCTGTATGACGTCAGCAAGCTGAGTCCTAATATCAAGGAGTCCCAAATTGACTCGGTTTGAAAGGAGATCACAATGCTCTTCATCTTCTTCTTCCTCTTCCACTCCACATCTCACACCCTTCTCTTTAGTTCCTCATCACGGGACCCGCACGGGTCGCGTGCCGCAAGTCTTGGATCCCCGTCGCTCTACTATCTCTGCTTCTCGTTGGGGATCATTTGGGCGATAAGGTATAAAAGCGACACAAAGGGGGCACCTGGAGAAGTTGTTGGAGAGAGAAAAGGAGGATAAGAACCTACCAGGAAAGTGCATTGAGGAGCTGAAGAAGGGGTTGGAGTTTGATTTGTTGAAGGAGGTCGACGCGTTGAGGAGGGCCAAGAGTTTGAGAGTCGAAGCGAAGGAGGTGAGGAAGTGGAATGCGAGGGATTTTGTGACTCTGTTTTTCTTCACTGTGTCTTGCTTTGTGATCATTGTCACCAAAGTTTGCTTGCTCGTCAAAAAGAGAGCGAAACAGTTGTACCACGGAAAGAAAATGAGAAAGCAAAACGGTTGCTCAATGTTTACTTGCTTCCTCATAGAAATTAAAAATAATAATATTTTAATAAAATTGAGTAGGTTATTTTTTTTAGGGACGGAGATGCATTGCCTATTACTGTTTATTGAGATTTATCACTGTTCACTGATTGAATTAAATGGTCTAAGTGCTGACGTTTTTTTTTAAGGGTGGAACTGCTCTTAGCCTGCTTTGCTGCAGAAAGCAACCGGCAAGATTGTTGCAATCAAATAGCCTAAACTGGCCTTTCTCACCTAATACAATATTTTTCGTTTTGGTTTGGATAATATGTGTCAATATCTTCCAACACCTATGACAGAAGTGAAGTAGCACACAAGTTACTTCCATGCCTGATATCCAAGAGAATCTACCTTGTAGTAGGCTATATCCCTTTATCCGAACTGTGAGAGAATCTGGCTCGTAGCCAGTGGCAGACACATGTTCTAAGAACCCTTTGAATGATCGGTATAAGCTCTTTTTGTGCCCGCTAAGTGTTTAATGTAATGCCTCCTAGATATACCTCGACAGCATTCGGCAAGTTACATCAAGAGCACTCATCAACTTGCTTTGGCATATGTAATGGTTCGGCTGATGACAACAAACCTATCAAATGTTCGACAAAATACCAATAAACTAAATTTTTTTGCACGCAAGGCTGGTAGCCGAGTTTTAGATTTTTAACAATGGGACTCCCTAATGTTCGAATCCTAAATTCGTCACTACTTGTAACCGGGTTTTGCCCGCTAGTCACAAACGGAGAAAAGATCAAACTGACCAGCTCTAGTTAATCAAGAGATCACTCACTCGTTACACCCAAGGTCCTAAGTTCGATTTTCCCTCCCGGCATCGCTAGTACCCAAATATTACCCAACAAAGACCAAAACCTTATACACAAATCAAATGGGAACATAAAAGCAAATTAAAAAAAGTATGAAAATTCGATTGAGAAAAGGCAATAAACAGCACACAAACATCAAATTAAGTACATAAAAAAAGGTCAGAATCCAAATAATGCAGCAAAAAAGTGAACAATGAACAAGGGGAGGTTTTGCTGTATGGTTCAATTTCAATAACACTAACTATGATTCCGATTCGACGCCCACCTTCTCAGAGCGCAAGCCACAAAACCCCTCCCCGTCAAAAGCCCTAACCTTGACTTAAAGGTCGGCCGCCCAGCACTGCTTGAGGCAATGTCCGGAAACGCCGGTTGGATGGCCAACGGCGGGAACTCGACGGAATTATCGTGGGCCGCAATGGAGGTATCAATGGCGGCCTCTGGGATTGTTTCACCTGTATCCAAATTCACGGCCAATAAAGGCCTGCTCGCCCTCAACCAATCAGCTCCCTCTGCTGTTACTCCTCTGCATTTCTTGAGCTTCACTTTCACCATGTTAGGGCAACCACCGGCCAACGCTTCGAGGCCGATGTCCGAGACGGGACAGCCCTTAATGCAGAGCTTCTTCAACGCCACGCATTTCACAGCAATGCACGAAATCTCGACATCGCCCACCGTATCGCTTCCGCACAATGCCAATCTTTCGAGATTGGGGCAATTCGAAGCTAATGCCTCCAAGCTCACTTTTGTTGGATTAACACCAATGAGCACCAATTCCTGAAGGTTTGCGCAATTCTTTGCTACCGAGACCAAACCCTCGTCGCCTACTCGATTAGCCTTCCACCCGTCAATGTGAAGCTTCCTTAGCAGCTTGCAGCGTTCGGCGACGGAGACCAATCCTACATTGGTGCACTCGGGGGTCTTGACCAGGTGCAAAATCTCCAGATCCAAGCAATTGGAGATGGCAGTGAGGCCTACATCGCTAACCTGAAGCTTTTCGAGATGGATCTCAACCATGGAGGTCACTCGCTCAGCTATCACTTGGAGGAGCTTGTCCCAATCGCCGGAGCACCTGAAGAGCTTCAGAGTCCTCAGTTTCTTTGCGCCGATTATCAGAGGACCAAAGCACTGTCCATTGTAGAGCTCTTTGAGGCAAATAGTTTTGAGCGACGCGGCTGCCACGCCGGGACCGATCGGTTCCGCCGCGGATCCGTCGGTGATGCCGCGAAGCCGCTTAACCGATAACTCTTCCAGAGCTGAGCAATTATCGAGCACCGCGTTCATTCCTTTGGCTCCGAACGTGCACGACCCGCACGACAGCTTCTTCAACCCTTTGCAGTTTTTGGCGAACGACATCATCCCGGCGTCGGTCAACTGGCGGCACGCGCGGAGCTTTAGGCGCGTGAGGTTGCGGCATCGCAGAGAAATGAGGATGAGCGCCTCGTCGCCGACGCTCACGGCTCTACGGTCGCATTTGAGGGCGAGTTTGGTGACGGCGTCGAAGCGGGAGAAGAGGGAAGGAATGATAGGGAGGAGATCCGATTGGGCAGAGAGGGAGAGACGGTGCCGGCTCTGTCCCTCGATCCTCAGCCACCGTCGGCAGACCAGCGAGCAGCGCTTCCGATCGCCGGAGCCGAGGGACTGGAATATGCAGGCCAAGCACTCGTCGGGAAGATCGGAGATGAAATCGGCGCTGTCGACGATCTCAAAGCCTTCCTCCTCGGCCTGCAGCATCGGGGAGATCGCGGCCGTTGCTTTGGACTTGGATCGATGGATGCGGTTGTTGCTCTCACGGCGGCTTGAATTGGCGGCCGCCGAAGCTGACTGGCCCATCAACTAAACCACCCGGAAATCAACAGCTGAGCTCTGCCACGTCAGCACGGTTAACCGTAGACAGCGTCGTAGAGGAACGGTTTTTCTCGCAACAACCCCTCTGTGGAAATGTATGCGAGGGCGGACTTGAAATCCGATTGCACTTGGCTTCTTCTGGAAACTGTTCTCAGTGTTTGGGTAATGGTATAATAGTAATCTCCTCTCCTAATGGTAATGGTATAATAGTAATCTCCTCTCCGGAGGAAAAATCAAAAGCGGGCGCTTTCATGTGATTATTGTGTGCACTCTTTCCTTATTTTGCTCGTTGGCTTGTGGGGCCCGCGATCTTGATTCGAATTTAAGCCTAAACCTGTTAATTGGTTTGATTAAAGATTTGGGCGACTAGTAAAACCAAAACTATATATGAAGGTAGGAGTGTGGATAGCGACAATTCAGGTGTGTCGTCGTCTGTGGGTGTTAAATCAAAAATAGCAACTACGATGCAATTTACACCAAAAGTTCAAAAAATGAAAAAATTGACAACTAATATAAGTCTATGATCGTGCTCACGTTCATTACTGTTAGATTTGTAAACGGTTCAGTTTTATTGAGTTTGGGTCGGGTTTGACCTTATTAGTTAAGTTACAAATCACTTAAACTCAATTTGTTAAATTAATGGGTCAATCAAACTCAACCCGTTAAACTAATAAGTTATCTATTTCACCTGTTAACAGTTATTTTGGTTTTGATGTCTTGCCAAGGGGGTTTCTGGATTTTGACAAAGATTGAAACTTTGCATTTTGAAAATTTTGGGGCTTCAGAGTGGGATAAGGGAGTTTTTCAATTTTCAAAGGATCCAAGCAATTCTCAATCTCAACCAATTGCAGCGAATAATGAGAAATTTGTGAATTTGACATAGAAGTAGCGAATAATTTTTGTGATTAGGATTTTTTTTTTCCCTTTAATTTTCTAATTTTCGAGTTTGAATCCCTATTCCATCCTCATAATGGGAATTTAAATGTAGAATATCACTTTTACTGAAAAAATTAAAAATAAATTCGACTCTATTATTTATTGAGGAAAGAGAATTAAAACTCATAAAATGTGTAATATCAAAACTTTATCAAATTATTTTTTAGAACGTTCCGTATTCCATAATAGTAATCTCCACTCCGGAGGAAAAATCAAAAGCGGGCGCTTTCATGTGATTATTGTGTGCACTCTTTCCTTATTTTGCTCGTTGGCTTGTGGGGCCCGCGATCTTGATTTCAATTTAAGTTTAAACCCGTTAATTGGTTTGATTAAAGATTTGGGCGACTAGTAAAACCAAAACTAAATTTGAAGTTAGGACTGCGGATAGCGACAATTCAGGTGCGTCGTCGTCTGTGGGTGTTAAATCAAAAATAGCAACTACGATGCAATTTACGCCAAAAGTTCCAAAAATAAAAAATTGACAACTAATATGAGTCTTTGACCGTGCTCACGTTTGTTACAGCTAGATTTGTAAACTGTTTAGCTTTATTGAGTTTGGGTCGGGTTTGACCCGATTAGTTAAGTTCTAGATTACTTAAATTTAATTTGTTAAATTAATGGGTCAATCAAACTCAACCCGTTAAACTAATAAGTTATCAATTTCACCTGTTAATAGTTATTTTGGTTTTGGTGTCCTACCAAGGGGGTCTCTGAATTTTGACAAAGATTGAAACTTTGCGTTTCGAAAATTTTGGGGCTTCAGAGTGGGATAAGGGAGTTTTTCGATTTTCAAAGGATCCGAGCAATTCTCAATCTCAACCAATTGCTGCGAATAATGAGAAAATTGTGAATTTTTGTAATTAAATGTAGGATTTTTTTTTCTTTAATTTTCTGATTTTCGAGTTTGAACCCTATTCCATCCTCATAATGGGAATTTAAATGTAGAATATCACCTTTACTGAAAAAAAATTAAAAATAAATTCGACTCTATTATTTATTGAGGAACGAGAATTAAAACTCATAAAATGTGTAATATCAAAACTTTATCAAATTATTTTTTAGAACGTTCCGTATTCCATAATATGATTGAGATATTTTAATCTATATCTATAAGGATAACTAAAATTTGGAGGTACGAAAGTGGAACAAATCAACTGGTTCAACTTAGATATACATTTCTATAATGCGAGATACTAGTCACACGTTAGGTGCATCACATACATAATCCACAATTTTTTTCTTTAATTTGATTGTCTAGACGATACGCATTATACGTCATATGAATAATTTTTTTGCGATTACGATGGTACAACTACTCTACAAAATTAATGTTCAACAAATATTTGTCCACCATTATCCATTAATGATTGTCACATAAAATACAGTCTAATATTCTAGTAGCGGTTTTGTTCATATGTCATAATCATCATCTCCATTTTATCTAATAATACGAATTTTGTATTAAAAATCTTAACTTATTATTTGATGGGCTCTTCATGTACTTTTCTCTTTGATAAGCCTCTTCCGTATACGCCCATTTAAATTGCACCACTCTTACATCACTTGGAGGTTGTGGGAACACGTGTGACGATTAGTATACAACACATGAATATCGTACTTTTGAAATCATATCAAAATGTGGAGATATTGACTAAAATACATGCATGTATTTACTATAATTATCGATGATAGTTAAATATTATTCATGTGAATGTATATATTTAGTGTAATATCAAAATGTCGAGATGATGATTGAATTAATTACATGTAACTACTCTTGCGAAATTAAGTGAGCTGCGAACTTAATTGATAAAGAGACCGGGCTTAAAATTATTTAAATATCATATACATATTTTGTGACGTGAGTGAGAGCGCGCAAGTTGTTAGCTCAAACACATAAACTAAGCTGCTTTAACATGCATAGCCGAATGCGAGTTAATATATGTTTAGCGGAAGAAGAACATGGTGGCAGATGACTCTGTCAATTTAAGCTACAATATAGATCTCAGGTACCATTATTTTGGAAATCCTCCTGATTGGATTAGAACTCAATTATTTGATAACATGATGAGAGTCATTGAGACTAAAATTAATGCAGTAACGCTTTGAGCTGGTTTTTAGGGTTTCAACCCCCTATGTTACCAAAAAAGCTACCTTCATACCATGATAAAAATTAAAACTATACCATGCAACCATTAATAAAATAAAGAGTACCCAAACTTCTTACAAATACGTACAAAATTCCTTAACTACGTGAGATTCATACTTTCCACTCACGTTCCGATTTCAAAATCTCCGTCCTTATCTGTAAAGTTCAAAGTTTCAAAACTTTGAACGACACTCACATCCAGCAGTGTGGGCCATGTATTTTCACTTCGTTGGACCCTCAGACAACAGAAAACAAAAACAAAGCAAAACACGTGGTGGACCCATCAGGCATCAGATAACACATCCATCGGCCCCACTACTTATCTCCATCACAAATCGGGCCTAATACTGGGCCTCTAATTTTACTTATTTTCCAGAAAAACCTAAACAAATATCAGAATTCCCACAAAGTCCACCGCATCAGTCATGACTCACTGAGTCATCATCACCACCGACTCAGACGAGTCTAGTACAGTCACTACCATGATCCACGATACACTGGTGCCACTCAAACAATGAGACGACGACGACGACGACGACGAATGGCGACTCTGAATCCGGCGCTGCTGCGAACATTTTCGTTCCTCTGCGCGCGAGTCCACCACCGACGCCTGGGCCTCGGGCTTGCGGTCCCGAGCGGCAGGGCGTGGTGCAGCGTGGCGAGCGAGTCGACTCGGCCGGATAGTCTATCGTCCTCGGCGGACAGTTCCGCGCTGAGAGAAGTGCTGAGCGTGAAGGAGCCGCCGAAGTACCCTCGCTGGGACGACCCAGACTACTGCAAGTGGAAGTATAAGGAACGGGAGATTTTAAACGACATCGAGCCCGTCGTTTTGCTGGCCAAGGAGATTCTGCACTCTGATAGGTATGCTTACTGTGAGCTTAGCTCGCAACGACGTTGATCCCCGTCGTTTTACTTTGTGAACTGGTTTTGGTGGTTTGCAGGTATATGGATGGTGAGCGGCTGACGGAGGAAGATGAAAAGGTTGTGGTGGCAAGGCTTCTTGCTCATCATCCACACTCAGAGGATAAAATTGGCTGCGCAATTGATTCTATCATGGTAACTTTTTTCCTCCACCATTTACCGTCGGAGATTGCCCTATGTTATCTATTAATTGAATTTCTTGTGAAGAATTTAGGTTTATATTGTAGTCAAATTTATAAAATATTGAGGGTAAGTAACTCATTAGTCATTGCCAATATGTTTGCTATGGTGCAAATGACGGTTTTTCGAGCATCGGTGCATTCGTTCTTTTGGAATTGAGCCCCTAATTAGTTATATATAGGGTTGATACTCATGCACCGATCAAATTTTGTGTGGGCTGAAAAATTTAACTAGGAAGGTCTATTTTAAATTTGTAGTATCTACCAAGTTGTTTGTTGAAGTGTGAAGGATGGTTTGGAAGACGCACTGTTGTGTGTCACAAATCACCGTTGGTGTGAATGCACAATGTGTGCCTTCTTTAAGTATGATAGTTTATGTTGTATAGAGAAACAAGCCTGTTGATGTTTTCGTGAGCGGTTTGGGTTAGTGGAAAAATGGTTTCAAAGGCTGAAATCATAGAAAGAGGAGTTTAGAGTTTGTGAATTAGATTTGTGGTGAATGTATTAAGTGTTGAAGACTAAAACTTGAACATGTTCGAAAGGAATGCAGCGGGTAATTAAATGTCATGGTTGTTCTGAAGTATAAGGAGGCCTAAATGTTCATCCTATTTGCATCAATCCCTTAGTCATCGCTGCTTAAAAACATTATGTACCAATTCTATTACCCTTGTTGGTTTAATTCCTTATCTTTACATGCCCTTCTCTCCCTGTTACCTCCTCCCTTCCCTATCCAGTTCCTTCTTCTCTTCTTCCCCGAGAACCTTGGCACTTGCCTTTACAGGTATCTATTTTTAAGTTTAAAAGAAAGAAATTGAAAATATTGATGAATAATATGAGAAAGTTAAAGAAACTTTAGGAAGGCGAGTATAAAGAGTAAAAATGTCAGTCCAAATAGAAGCACCCTTGTGGAAAATGTCCAGTGAACTCAACATTATTCGAGTATCCTTAACTCCTTGAACTAAAACGCTAATGTCTTAACAAACACCAGGACACTTATTTTTGAGCAAAAGCTATTCTTTGATGTTGTTGCTCTTGTAGCTTTAAGGATTGCTCTCCAAAACAGTTCCTGTCTTTTACCATTTTTAATATGCTATTGCTGATGGGTCATTCCAATTTTTGTCACAACCAAAAGATTTAACAAGAAATTGGTGTCACCAACCTATGTAATAGGAAACCTTGGATGAATGCAAGATGTCAACTGTATTGCAACCGAGTAAGAGAAGAAACCATTGAAATATCGCTGCACAAACATGCACAACTAGAAGTTTGTGGCATCTCTTAATGATTATGTGAATAGAAAAGCATTTATCTAGGCTGAAATTTATTTTTATCTCCTCTGTGTATGATGAAGTTCAATGGGGGGCCAGTCACAGGTGCTCTAGCTTAATGAGCTACAGGCCTTTGCTTTTTTCTTACCACTTTAACCTTTTTTAGTGCATGTTTGGAGCTTTAGATCCACGTGTTCATAACTTATCCTTAACTATTGGGGCTTGTTTTTCCTAGATTATTTTCTACAGATTATTTATTTCGTACCTTTTCAATACAATTTAATGATAGTGGAAGCTGAAAGTGTAAACTATTAAAATTTTGGTCTAATTTTTTTCTACTGTTTCTTTGGCTACTCTTTCCTTAGCACGTTGGTTCAGAAACCAGTTACGAGTGTAATATGTAATCGTAAATAAAGATCTTTCTATTATTGTTTCTGTGACGTGAAATTATCTGTCTCTTTCTCAAAACTTCTCTTCTTCAGTCTGATCTTTACTTGAGCAGAACTTAAACTGACCATTTGTAAACTATTTATTGACATTGAATTTCAAGTTCTCATTGATTTCTGAACCAGTCCTCCCTTCTATCTATGATCAACCTTTATTTTGTTTGATGTGGATTCTTGTGTTTGTCTATGCAAACTAACCACTTTCTTTGTAACTTGTGTTGCTGTAGGTTGATCGGCATCCCCAATTTAAACACTCAAGGTGCCTATTTGTCATAAGAACTGATGGTGTATGGATAGACTTCTCCTACCAGAAGTGTCTTCGAGCATATATCCGAGATAAGTACCCATCCCATGCAGATAGATTCATTTGGGAACATTTTAAACGTGGTAGTGGCTAAATGTGCGTTACTCCTTCCTAACGCTTGTATTGGGGTTTAATTTTGCTTTGGTAATTACAGATGCGTATGAAATGGTATTCAAATTATACCTTGGAAGGGGAATGTCTTTCGTATTCAGATCTTCAGTGATCCACATATAACCTTGAAGTCCTCAAAGCTCATTAGATAACAACATGGCTCTCCTAGGACCCGCTTTTACTAGGATTGAATTACTTAGCTTTGCACCTAGAAGTCCGCAAAGCTCATTAGATAACAACCTGGCTCTCTCTCATTGATTAGAAGCTTTGTCAATCGTTTTAGCTTAATTAGAGAATTTAGATGGAGGAAAATATGTGTCCTTATGTCCGGCGTTCAGGATTTGTGCCAATAGAGTCCATCAGTCGGAAGATGTCCGATGTGGTGATCATTGATCTTGTAGCTTTTTGGCTGACCTTCGATGGAGATAATAACATTGCATTGTGACAAATGATGATGATACGAACGTGTGTCGTTGTTTGGCTGTGATTAACAAGAGAAAAACTTCGGTAAGGTAGGCTGACCTCAAATTTCTCATATGGTGGGTTGGGTGAGAGCTTCCCTACGGATGGCATAGTCAAGCACCCGTAGTCTAGTTTCTATCGTGTTTAATGGGCCGGCAATGGATGGTCCATCCAATAGGACCTGGTCTTGATCAATTTAGGTGGTAGCATGAGTGAAGATATGGAAATTTTGTATATTCTTACAGCTTAGAAGTCTGATAATTTGAAGTTATTTGCCTGCATGGCCCCATACTTTTTACCAACTAGTAGAAATCGAGTAGTTGAGACTGGTATTGTGAGTCAAAAGAATTAAGCTCTCACGGATGGACGTTGTCTAGGCTCCGGGGGACTTTCTTGAGTACTTCGGAGCACCCAAGATTCTTTGCGCTGTCAAAACCGTGAAATGCATGCTGGAATGTGGTTGACGTTGAAGACGAACATCATATTTCTGGTGGTAAATTATGCTCAGAAAAAATGCTTTCCCCACCGATAAGAGCATCTCCAAAGGAGATATCAAATTGTTCAGATCAGCAACAACGGTAACAAAAGACAGCATTAATGTTTTCCAATCGAGAAGCCAAATCTGATGTGGCATGACATAGATTAACATCTCTCCTCTTTTGCTGCCAAATTTGACAGCACCTTCAGATTTTTTTAATTAATTATTAAATGCTTTTTATTAATTTTTTATTGGTTTAAAGCATTATCCTTTTGTTTCTTTTCATTTCCAATGCAAAGAAAGTACATAGGAATTATTATTTTATGTTTAAAATTTGACATATCAGTTATAGAGCAAAATTTTAAAAGATGCCAAAGTGTCATTGTAAGCTTTTAAATTTAAATTTTAGGTTTAAAATTTGACAGCTTTTTTAAAGATGATCTAAGCTTTTACTTTGCATTAATTTTTGAACAACACACAAAGATGGTAAAACCAGTTCCACCACCCCCCCCCCCCCCCCAAAATAAAAAAACACATCAAAACTAGTTTGAACGTCGCTCATTTGAGGATAGTAAAGCAGTGCTAGAGTCAGTCATGCATACTGACTCTAGCACTAATTTTTTTTTTTTTGCATGACTGACTCTAGCACTAATTTATTATATCATTTACACGAAATGATAAGATAATGACCCAATTGTACTTAATAAGTTACTCTCTATCACCACAAAATCTACCAACAAATCCATGAAAATTTAATTCGATGCAGAGTCCCACTTTACAACCTGTAATAGCACCAACACGTTGTGTCCTCCCTTTGGCTTTCTAGCTTCATTTCTCGGAGAATGTACCCCAGGCAGGAGAAATAAGACTAAAGAAGATAAAGATGAAAGAAAAAAAATAAATAAAAAGAAAGCTACATTTCAAAAGAAGAAGACCTAGAAGCCCTCTCCCACTGATTCGCGCAAACTGTCTCTCTCTTTTGTAAATAAGGCGGGAATGAGAATAAGACTAAAGAAGATAAAGATGAAAGAAAAAATAAATAAAAAGAAAGCTACATTTCAAAAAAATGCCGATTAAATTTCTAAAATTCAAATCGACGGTCGAATTAAAAACAAAAAACCTTAAGAGGTGTCAATGAAAGAAGTCGGAATCAATCAACAATGGACACCAATTAACAATTTTGTTTTTTTATATATCATATACGAATTTTTGAACAATGGAAAGGTATACAAAATTAATCCATAATTGAGAGTCGGAAAATTTTATTTGAACTCGTATAATCTCTTTTTACACCCAGTTTACTCCCTAAACTCATATTATTTTTAATTAAACTATTAATATCTTTTTTAATCCAAATTTATTATCTAAATCACCCTCACAAATCCAATTCAATATGTAAATTTATCCTTACACCCATTCAAAAAATAAAATAATCAAATAAATTCATTAAACTTTTAAACTTACCAGGTTGATAATATGTAATTGCCACCAAGATTCATTTGCCCAAATAGATTAAAAGACTATTTTCGGATTAGCTTTAGATTCAACTACCTTCGGGTTGACAATATACATATGGTGTTGATTTTTCCAAACTTGATTGGCAATAAAGATCAGGTGGAGTGTTTGTTTGTGCAGGCCAATGCCCTAAAAGGTCATATTCCTATTGATATGTTCAACATGTATTCAGAAGTTGCATTCGTCGCACAACCAGTTTGATGGTACACTCCACACAAGTTATAGCAGAATAAAGAGCTTCTGACTCTGGTACTGGACTTGAACAATTTCAGTTGGAGGATTCAAAGTTCCTTCTTACAGGTGATACACTCCTAAACCCTAAAAAATATGAAATCAAACGAAAAAAAAAACTTGCGCAAATGAGTTCATACCTTAGTTGGAAGATTTAAAACTTCAAAATTATCATCCATCAGGTAAAGAAAGCTTGTCTTTCTCTGTGGGAGCGTCTTATGGTTTTAGCAAAAATGAACGTAGGATAAAGGATCACGTTATGGTAGGAGTTGATTACTAAGTGTGGGTTTATTGATATATTTTAGTTTTATTGTTAATTTTATCTTATACTTGATGGTAACTATAATATAGCCAAAACGACAACTCAGATTTCAAACTTAAGTTGAATATAGAAAGAGATTATATGAGTTCAAATAAAATTTGCCATGAGTTGAGGACAACAATTAGAAACATTCAAACAATTGCCAACGACCTCATTTTGAGAACCTTTCCGACCTTTTGTGTCTGGCTACGAGCCATTCAAAAACCTAGCAAAATTGCTCTCTTGGCTACGAGCCATTCAAAAACCCTAGCAAAATTCTCAGAGAGCAGCACCACCAACATTTTACGTATCTGTTATAGGAGTGGGCACTTGGAATCGAAAATTGAAACCGAAACACGAAACAAATTAGACCGCACCGAACGATTTTGCGGTTTTCAAATGGTTTCGATTTTGAAACCGAATCAAGGTGTAGTAAACGGTTTGGTTTCGGTTTCGATTTTTGAAAACCGCACCACAAATATTAATTAACATTTAATTAAATGTCTATAGTAGATGTCATGTTTAACTGGTTGTTGTTAGAGTCTATACATTTAGTATGGACTCAACCACACTAGAATATCATCATTCATCACTTTCTTTCATTCATTAATTTGAAGGACCTTTCTTATTTTATACATCATACACACACAAAAACATATATGAATTAAAAGTTATTCAACTTGTTTTGTGTTACACCTTGTATGTGACACCCTTTTGTTGCACAAACTTCTTTTAACATCACGACTGCATGCACTATACTAATTGTTTCCATAACAAATGTCTTTTTCATGTTGCTGTTGTTGCACTAGGTGCGTACTAGCATTTGTTCTAATCAAACTTCTTGATGTTTTGCAGGAATTATTGTTAAATGTAACTTTTAAAATTTGTATATGAAAATGCATATCAATATGTTAAATTTTAAACTGTACATTTTTTCTTCTTAAAAAATCAATTCAGATCAAGCAGTTTGGTTTCAGTTTAATTTTAACTTTAAAATTGCACCGAACTAAATCGTAAAAAATTTCGATTTCACTCAAAACTGTACCGAAACGAACCATTCGCACCCTAATTCATTACTCTATTCGAGATTCCCAAACGCTCAATGAAACCCTTGTGAGAAACCCCAATTCACCAGTCCAATCCATCGATACTCCGCTACAAGTTGAATATCCAACGAACCATCGGCTGCTGTGACCTTTGCACCGGCGCCGACCAGCTCCGCTACAAGCTCTGCGCCTCTCCGCCTCAAGGCCTCATTTGTTTCAGCAAACGGTTCCTCGCCTCCTCTCAGCTCCGCGAGCCTTCTGCCTCCTCTGGCTCTGTCCAGTACTGGTCCTGGTCCAAGGTAAGATGACCTCCTTTATTATGCACACAATCTGTTTGATGAACTGCCTCAACTGATAAAGCTTGCATTTTAATTGAATTTTGAGAATTTTGATGTGCAGCCGCAAGGTGATGTCAAGAGCTTCCCAGAATAACCGATCAATCCACTCGCTGCAAACAGCGAAGGCATGTACTTATCGATTGTTTCTCGATAGCATTTTTGTTCAATCTGCCGAACTTTACTAATTTGTTTAGTATTTACATAAAATGTGCACTGTACTCCGCAGGTCCAGTGAATGATATCTTTGCATTATACTGTACACACATACACACAATTAATGTGCCTATGTCTAGAGTCTAGACGATCTTCATTCTGCCCGAAAGCAAAGGAAAAGACGTTTCCGATGAAATCTGTAATGCAGCAGCCAACCACCGGTTCTAGTAATGCATGCAGCTTTGTCTCCCTTTCCATCTCACTTCCTCTCCTGCGTCCATCCTCTAACTGCTAGCAGCTAAATCACACTACTGGAGGTCTGCAAAATTTTGTGACCATAAACTGTTACTTTCTTGCATATAATTTCCGGTTTAAAGTTGCTTATAGTCTCAAATCCAGAGATTTTAAAAATAAAATAAAACTATCTAGTTGGAACATGAGATCTTGTCATTTGGCAAGTATAATTTCCGGTTTAAAGTTGCATAATAACTTATCTAGTTGGAACATGAGATCTTGTCATTTGGCAAGTATAGTAAAAGCTCAACCCTGAAATTAGCGCATTGATGTAAAATGAATAGGGTGAGTTGGTAAATAAATAGAAAAGAGCTTACTTACCCGAAGTGGAAGGCCTCTCCTGCAACTCAACATCATCCTCTGCTTCCACTATGCCTTCGCCCTCATCATCAGAATCAGAATATTTAGGCCAGATTGTGATATTGGGGATGTGAGAAATCTTGGGCCGCTCCTTTCCTCTGCCTTTTCGGCAACCTCGTGCAAGACTCTTAGAGTAACTGATATCAAGTGTCTGAAGTGGTGTTTTCCGCAAGAAGTCTGGCAGTGTTTTTAGCTGATGGCTCTCCCAAATCTGTAAAGAAGAAAGGCATGGCATTATGGTAATATGAGAATCCTCTTCCTTCAACTCTTCCACTCCTTTCCACTCTTCCCACGCCCCCATGGACTCAAATATGAGTTTTTTCAATTTTGGGAATAGAGTAATGCATGATGATGCTGATGACGTTTCCTTTTCTATTCCCAGAAACTCAACTCCAACCTTTTTTACTCCTTCCATGCTCCGAAGCCTGAGTGTTTCGAGAGACTGTAATTTTCCCAAAGGAGGTAAAACTTCACATTCATTCCATTCATAGAGAGTGAGAAGTCTCAAATTGTTTAATGACATGATCCAGTTGGGGGCAGTGCTTCCATTATGCCTTTCAATTCTTAACAATTCCAAATTTGGATGCGGTCGTAAAAAATTCAGTGTTTCTGCACTACTGCTGCTTCTTCTTCCCTCGTCACCTTCCCGATCTTCAAAACTTACATCCAAACGTAAGAGTTGTTGTTTGTTCCCCAGGGGTGATGCTTTCTCACCCTCACCCACAGCAACTTTAACTTCCCCATAAAATACCATCCAGAGTTTATGAAGTTGGTCTAAGTTTCTCAAATCTCCCAATTCAAACGCTTCATCATCGTCTTTACCACCGCCAACAGGGCACCAATCTAGTCTTCTTAGATTTGTTAATCTCCCAATCCCTTTCGGCAAGTACTTCAGTTGACGGCAATCCCAAACATAAAGATGCTTTAAGTTAATCAACTTACCCATGCCTTGAGGTAGACTTTCAAGTTTCCCACATCTTTCAAGGCGCAATGTCTGCAAATTGTATAAATTACACACCGCATTCGGTAGCTTTTTCAAACCATCATTTCCAGACAAATCAATGAACCTCAGATGCACCAATTCACCTATCTCTTCCGGAAGCACTTCAATACAACCACCACTCAAATTTAATGTCCTAATATGTTTCAACTGCGAGATCAAAGTTGAGTCCACAGCATTAAATTTTGAATCAAAAGTTGCAAGAGTACGTAGATCGCAGCTGGAAAACGAAACACATGAGAGTGGACCCTTGGGTGCAAGCATTAAGGTAAAATGGCGGATCTTGGCACCCAAGGCCTCTATTGTATCGTTACCACCCTTAACCTCCATTGTAAAGCATTCATTTTGAGTAAGAAACTGCAGAAAGTCGTGCACAATATCATGCATTTTACAACTCACGATATTTCCTAGAACATCTTCTTCAAAGTTTTGGAAGAAAGATCGCATTGCTAAGTTATTGAAAAACCTTTGGCCAATTATTTTCTTCTCCATGTCTTTTTTCAAATAGAGATAATCTTGTGACATCCACAACTCAATCAAATAATCTTTATTGATCCAATGATCTTTTGGAAAGATAACACAATATAGAAGGCATCGTCTGACCGCAGGTGCCAAATCAAAATAACTCAGTAATAGTGGTTGGAAAACTTGTTGCTCAACCTCTTCATAGTCCCATATCGTACTGTTCAAAACTTCTTGCCATTCTTTCCTCGTTTTCTTGTTACGCATGAGACTACCCAGAGTCTTTGCAGCAAGAGGCAAACCCTTGCACTTTTTTGCTATTTCTTCACCAATGGCTTCCAACACACCATCCTTATCCCTATTATAAAATGCCATACGGTTGAATATTGACAAACAATTTTGTTTGCTCAACCTCTCCAAATTAATGGTGTGAGTGGGAGCTCCCACCATATCAGCAACCACCTGTTTTCTAGTGGTCACCAATATTCTACTGCCATGGGCGCCACTTTGTACTAATGGCAACTTCAATTTCTCCCACTTTCTTTGGTCTTCAGTCCACACATCATCTAGGACAAGGAGAAACTTCTTTCCCCTGATGGATTCAGACATACATTGAAAGAAATCTTCCAACTCATCCGAATTTGGGCTGACAGCTTTAGCACCAGAAATGATGGCTTTAGCAATTTTCATCTCATCAAAAGGGTCTGAAACACAAACCCATATTCTCATCCCAAAACAAACTTTAACATTTTCATCGTTAAAAGCCAATTGGGCCAGAGTTGTCTTCCCCATTCCTCCCATCCCGACAATAGGGATGACAAGGAGGCCCCTCTCTTCTTGACTACTCTCATTCAACAACTTGCCAACCAAAACTTCCTTTTGTTGTTCTCTACCAAATATGATAGATTCATCAACAAAAGAAGAAGTTTTCTCTCGCTCAGGTTGTTCAGTGGTCGTTCTCTCTGTGAATTGAAAGTTATATGTTTCTCTTTGCTTAGCAATCACATCTAAATTTTCATTCAGACTTTTGATCTTATGAGCAATGTCACTACGAAGAATTACCCGACTGACTTGGCCGACTTGGCCAAAACAAAAGCAAGAGGAGGGAATAGAGAAACATACCGCCCTCTTCTTCTTCTTAGCAACAAGAGAAGTACTTCCACCGTGCTCTTCTTGTTTCTCAACTTGTTGTCTCAGAATTTCAGTCTTCCACTCATCCAGCACATTGTCCATCTTGTACGACACATCTTTCAGCTGCTCCAGCCAATTTCTGACGCTGGCCTCCTTTACCTGCCTCAGCTCCGCATCCTCAAGCACAGCACCAATCACTTTAAGTTTGGCCTCGAATTCTTGAACATCTTTCTCCGCATTCAAAACCAGCTTCAACTCTTCTCCGACGTATTGGAAAGTTACTGAAGCCAGTTGTTCGAGAAGCACGGAAATGAGTGCCTCAGCCATGTTTTGGTTAGCAGTGGAAACAGAGAAAAACAAGAGATATGAAGTGAGAAGAAGAGGATTGGTATGGTATATGGTATCACTTTTCTTCTGGCCAAATTTTGAGATGAGAATATGGGCTGGCTAGACAAATAATAATGGTAGGGTAGACGTGAGTCATCCCTCACTTATTTCTTCGACAGCCATTATTGACCAGGAAGAAAGCAGGAATCTTTATCTCAAAAGTCAAAAGTTAGATTGACGATTCACACATACTTTTAAACTTTAATCTGAAAATTATTTATGCTTTTGAGATAAGAATATGGGCCTGCTAGACAAATAATAGGGTAGAGGTGAGTCATCCCTCACTTATTTCTTCAAGAGCCATTATTGATCATCTTTCTTGTCAATTTACATTCTTAAGATATTAAATTGCATCATGTTATGACTTCTGTTAGTTTAATTGTTATGTATATGCTGTTAAGTTGCAATTTTTTCTTTGACACAACTCAAGATAGATTTCATAAAAGCTACATCAATAATCTAACGGCATACATAATGGTTAAACCAACAAAAGGCATAAAATGGTGCAATTTAAAAACTTTAGGTCGTGGTCCTTTTGATTAACACCCCCAAAAAAGGAGTGTAAAAAAGCACTTTGCCCTAAAGTTTGATACTTTTTACCTTGTCAGTTGTCAGCTTATTTGTATCATATACTTCCAAACTGTACAGACCCGTACGACTACGAGTGTGCTTGAAAGAGGTTAGAATAAATTTACTTATTTTATTTTTTATTTTTAAATTTTAACTAAGGCTTGCTGTGTTTATATGGTTGTAAAGGTAGTGTAAAAAACAACAAAATTCATGTTGTGCTGTGGCCAGTTTATCTGATAAGAGAGAGTGGAGAAAGTGTAGTGATTTCTCTAAATATATGAGATGTTATTCTCTTTACACAGTGCATTTATTTATAGTAATAAAGATGAGAGAAATACTTGTCCTCCAAGTAAATACAATCCTAATAGGGAAAGAATAACTAATAACCAAATATATCTAAGATTTATACAATCACACTTTAATATAATATCTATAATATGTTACATGTAGTTACTAAATTGCCTATGATTTTTATTTTTGTTTAGCATTGGTGGAGAGAGTTAGTGACACACCCCGACTCGGAATGTCCACTTGGACTCCAAATCAAGCTTTGTTGGTAGACACCCAGAAGGTAACAAATCCATAAAGTGTAGTAATGTGGAAAAAAAATGTGAATAAATTTAAACCTAAAAGTTACTATTACAAGAATGCGCATGTGAGCGAAATTGAACAAATCTCACATTTGACTTCAAAGCATAAGTAAAGTAGAGTAAAAGTATATAAAAATTATACCAACCGAAAGAAATCTCCTATATCACCATTTGCTAGAAATAATATGGTTCAAATTCACCTTTGGTAAGAATCAAACCTAAGACTTCTCAATTACAAGTGAAGAGACATTAGTACTAAGCGGTAAGAGCAGCTTAATCACTAAAAAAAATTAAAAATACAAAAAAAATAATTTTGATTTGCATCCTTTAATAGGAGGAGGGCAAAACAAGAGGTCTGCAAATAATATTTGATTAGGTTGATTTAGAAATAATATTAAAATCTATTTTAATAACCTCATCTACAAACTCACAGTTTCATTAAACTACAAAGGCAAAACAACAAAAGATGTGGTTCGACTCGACTTTCTCACGAGCAACAATTCATCTTCCTCCTTATGTCTCATGAAAACTGCAAGCTTGGGACCATTGGAAAGTTTCCGACACCATAGCCAGGTTGGGCTCGAGACCATCCTGGTCCCTTAGTGACTCCACCCTCGACATGGACTGTTGACTCAACACGTAAACTAAGCTGCTTTAGTATCATAATATAAATTAAAAGTATACCATACAACTAAACTCCTTATAAATACATTCAAAACTCCAGAATTCATACTCTCAACTCTCATTACGATTTCAAAATCTGTGTCACTTATTTGTGAAGTTCAGAGTTTCAAACTTTGAATACCAAATTCAGCAATGTGGGCCACGTAGTTCAAACCAAAACACGTGATGGACCCATCAGGCATCAGATAATGCATCCATCGGCCCCACTACTTATCTCCAACACAAATTAGGCCTCATAGTGGGCCTGTAATTTTATTCCCAAAAACCCGAAACAAATATCATAATCCCCAAAAAGTCCACCGGTTCAGTCACGACTCACTGAGTTATTGGGAATTGGTTTTGGTGGTTTGCAGGTATATGGATGGTGAGTAGCTGACGGAGGAAGATGAAAAGGTTGTGGTGGAAAGGCTTCTCGCTCATCATCCACACTCAGAGGATAAAATTGGCTGCGGAATTGATTCTATCATGGTGTGAATGCACAATGTGTGCCTTCTTTTAAGTATGATAGTTTTGTTGTATAGAGAAACAAGCTGAAAAAGGGTTTCAAAGGCTAAAATCATAGAAAGAGGGAGTTTAGGGTTCGTGTATTAATTTTGTGGTGAACGTATTGAGTGTTGAAGACTAAAACTTGAACATGTTTGAAAGGAATGCGGCAGGTAAATTAAAATTCATGGTTGTTCTGAAATATAAGGGTGGTGCCATAATAATTATAGAAAATTAATAAAAATGGTTTGAAAATTTTGAATTTTAAAGATAAGGACAAAATAAAAGGTAAAATGAATAGTATCAAGTTTGACTTTTTAATGTAAAAATATAATTTTTCGTTAAAGTGAACATTTCTGTGAGTTTTTAATTAAAATTCTCTAATAATTACGGAACAAACATTATCATCAGGTTTTCCTACTGTATTTGTGGGCCTCCCGCTAAATTGAGAGTGCCACACAGCTGGAAGGGAGGATTCATGTGGGACCTTACCCCTCGCAGTCCATATTTTCTCTTTGCTTGCTAGACATGGGGATTGAAAGATCTTTAGCGATCTTGAATCAGACTTTCTTTGGAACGTTAGTGTAGTGGTTTTTCTAAGTTTAGGTTGCATTGGCAGTGTTTAAACAATCAGGTTGAGACTCTAAGAATTTAGTTGTGCAAATCTAACCGTCTTACTGTACTGGTGCACGTGGAATGTTTTTTTTTCGTGCGTTTGAACTTTAGCGCATGACAACATGCTATTTATTTAAAATACCGTTACAGTAGCGTTCCGAATAAGTAGGGCAAGTACTCGTCGATGGTGAAGCATAGCATTTGAAGGGTTGTGATACGTGCAATGGTCTAATCAACTATAGACCACGAGCTATGAGGATGCTTTGATGAGTTCCAATAAAGGCCTTTGCTTTCCGTTGCTGTGATTGAAATGCATGCAAGGAAAATGAACCACTTTCTGAGTTTTCAGAGGAGTGGGCATATCTGACTTTGACTAGAATTATGAAAGAGGAGGTGTTATTGTTTTACAAATCTGAGAAGAAAAACACAAAAACAAACAAAAGAGAAAAAAATTGACGATGATCGTATAAAAAGTAAAAGGGTAAAAAAAAAGAAAAAGGAGATTGCTTAGATGGCATTCTAATATTAAAACAGTGCCAACCTTTGTTCAGTTCTGGTTGATTTTAGAGGGGTATTTTTGGTATACGCTAAATTTCAAGAGTTATCTATGTTCATGCTGTTTTATGAACAATTATATCGTGGTTAAGTCCGTTAATAATCTTAGTATACTTAGAATTTTGCATTGAAATTCTTCTCCGTACATCACTAGCTTGCATAGGTAACTGATGTTTTAAACCTGATTTACATGTCAAACATGCTTTGGATAGGTTCAAAGGACATTTCTGCCCTTGAAAATGATGGTTACATGATGTGCACATGAGCAAATTGAATCTCACTGGAGGTTAGTTCAAGTAGCAAGAGAAAATTGGGTAATAAGTTATATTAAAACATATTCACTGTTCTAAAAATCTCCTTTAGCATGGGCGCTAAGCGGTCGGTTACCATTCCGATTAAAGTCTAGGCGTTTGAAAATTAAGAAAAAAAAGCATAGACCTACTAAGGCGCTCGCCTAGGCATGTGCCTAGCTCGCTCAGACTCACCTAAGTTGTAATTCACTTTAGACAAAATATAAATAATTTCATTTTGCATTTTATTTTTATAAATAAATTGTAAGAGATTTGTTGAATACTTAAATGAACCCACATTATATGTTGGTTCCTCATTTTATCATTATGTTCTATTACTTCATAATATATATGTAATTCTATTTTGTAATTTATGTTGAACCTATATATATTTTAAGTATAAACAGATACTTATTTATACGAAATATAATAAATTTACTTACGAAAGATACATGCCTACATGGATGATTTGTGCAATTTCGCCATTGCTGTACTGCGTTAAAAACTCAAAACACCATGAGAATAAGTTCTATGGGATGAGTAAACTGTCGTCATGGGATGTTCAGTGTGAGTTTCTTTTCATACGTGATTATATTATTAACACAAAATATTAAGATAACGATCTAACTTTGTTTAGTAAGTGCTCTCCACCACCACAAAAACTAAAACAAATCCATGAAAATCTAATTTGATGCAGAGTCCTACTCTACAAGAGATTTTTTTAGTGTGATTGGTACGCGGGATGACATACCACGTGCCACTATACAAATAGTGGGATATATGTGCTAAAAAGTTAATAACTTAACAAATAAAATTTCACACCACTCTTATTAAAACACGTAATGTACCAATTATGTTTCTGTCACAAGTAAAAATTTCTCCTACTCTACGGCCTGCAATGGCACCAACACATTTTGTCCTCCCTTGGTCCTCTAGCTTCATTTCCCGGCGAATGGACCGCAAGTAGGAGAAATAAGACTAAGAAGATAAAGATGAAAGAAAAGAAAGAAAAAGAAAATAAAAGAAAGCTACATCTCAAAAGAAAAAGACCTAGAAGCCCTCCACGTGTCCCCTTTTCTTCCTTTCCTCTCTTTTTGTTTGCATGGCATAGCGGGAAAAACACACAGAAACTTGAAGACATACACTGATACGCGCAAACTCTCTCTCTCTACGTCTTCTCTCTCTTCTGTAATTGTTTGCAGTTGTTGTAAACATAATGGTTGAGTGCAGTGCAGAGAGAGAGAAGAGGAGAGACCAACTTTTCGTACAAAAGAGGAATTGAGTTGTCATGCGCTGCTGGTGGGATAGTAAATTCCACTGGGAAGTGTGTATTCAGGAGTTGCATTCGTCGCACAACCAGTTTGATGGTACACTCCACACAAGTTATGGCAGCCTAAAGAGCTTCTGACTTTGGTACTGGACTTAAAACAATTTCTGTTGGAGGATTCAAAGTTCATTTTTACAGGCAATACACTCCAAAATCAAAAAAAAAAAAAAAAAAAAATTGAAATGAAACGAAAAAAAAAAAAAGCATAAATAAATTCATATTTTGGTCGGAGGATTCAAAATTTTAAAATCACGGTCCATCAATCTAAGAAAGCTTTTTTTTTCTTTTTTTTCCTCGACGAGAACGTCTTAAGGTTATCTCAATGCTATTTGAATTATTTCCTTCCCCGGGTTTATGCATATTTGATGACATTGAAGCAAACTTGGTGCTAACTAGCGTACCATTATTTCATAATACATTTTCTATTTGAATTTCTCAGTTGTTTATGTTCAATTTGCCAAACTTTACTAATTTGTTTAGTATTTACATAAAGTTTGCACTGTACCCGGCAGGTCCAGTGAATAATATTCTAGTAGTTGAACAACATTTTTCTGAGAAATATACTGAAGACCTCAAACAAGTCTGGAGCTCCCTGCATTATACTACACATACCACGCAATGGAGCTTTTGAATGTGCCTATGTCCAGACGATCTTCATTTTGCCTGAAAGCAAAGGAAAAGACCATTCCGGTGAAATATGTAATCCAGCAGCCAGCCACCGGTTCTAGTAATGCATGCAGCTTTCTCTCCATTTCCATCTCACTTCCTCTAAAGCCAAAGTATGTGAGCCCTGCATTCATTAACAGCACTCGCAACAGTCAGGTGGGTAGGATTAATGAAAAAACTTCAAGAGGTCAACGAAACATGCATGCATAAACTGTACACCCCAATTAATTTGAGATTACCTATTTCCACACTCTTCCTTTTCGATGATTTTTGCACCCGACCAAAGTGAGCTCCGGTGTAGTGGTCTCAGTTTATTTCAGGCAACATTGTTTGTAAACCTTGTACCTACTAGCAGCTGAATCAGACCACAGGAGGGTCTTGGCAAATCCAGCCATTTGAATTTTGAGGTCTTCCGGCCTCCCAAAAGCATGCTCATGAAACTTCCTGCAAAATTTTGTGACTATAAATTGTTACTTTCTTGCATATAGTTTCTGGAGATTTTAAAAATAAAACAAAACTAGAGCATTGCAAATCACGATATTGGGAGTTACAAGTACATTGCAACATTATATATACAGTTATACTTGTTGGAATAATCTTGTAATTTGGCAAGTATGATAAAAGCTCTACCCAGAAATTAGAACATTTATGTAAAATGAATAGAGTGAGTTGGTAAATAAATAGAAAAGAGATTAATTACCATAAGTGGAAGGCCTCTTATGCAACTAAACATCATCATCATCTGCTTCGACTATGCTTTCACCCTCTCACCAGAAGTGGAAGGCCTCTCAGTTAACTCAACAGCATCCCCTGCCTTGACTATGCCTTCACCCTCATCATCAAAATTAGAATATTCAGGGAAGACTGATTAGGTTGGGCTCGAGACCATCCTGGTCTCTTAGTGGCTCCGCCCCGACATAGGTTGTTGGCTCAACACATAAACTAAATTGCTTCGGTATCATGATAAAAATTAAAAGTATACACAATACAACTAATTGACATACATATAAATAATAGGGAAAATTAGAATGCTCTACATCTTTTCTATAGTTGTTAGATTAAACATTCATCCATTTTAAATATTTGATTAAGGTGCTTTGATCAATTGACACCTCAATAATTTTTATTTATTTAATTTCCATGTTATTAAATGCATTTATATAGAGGCATAAGGTAGCTTAGTAACTAATTGCCTATAATATAGAAATTTAATTTCGTCAATCCCCTTCTACGCATTAAATGACATTTTTAATAAAATAAAATAAAAAATTAATTAACTAATTCCTCATTTAAAAAAACTCTTTCTATTAAAATTGTCTCAATAAAAGGTCTTCAATACATATTTTTTTCCTGTATAGATATATAAAAAATATACTTAAAACTTATGGTACATTTGAGAACAAAAGTATCGACTTTTGGTACGTTTAGATTTCAAATGTACCGAGAAAACAAATGTACCAAAAATTCAAATGTACCATAAAACCAAATGTACCCATTGTTATGTAACCCTTTTGGTACGTTTAGATTTCCAATATACAGAGAAACCAAATGTATCAAAATTTCAAATGTACCATAAAACCAAATGTGCCCATGGTCAGGTAACCCTTTTGGTACGTTTAAATTCCTATTGTACCAAAAGACCAAATGAACAAAAAAATTCCCAATTGTACCACAAAACCAATTGTTTCTATCAGATAACCATTTTGGTACATTTACATTCCAAATGTACCGAGAAATACAAAAAATCAAATCTACTATAAAACTAAATGTGTCCATATTATAGGTAACTAGACGTAGCTATATAATCAAACAAATCTTTATTATGTGTTGGGTCTTCTAAATAATAAAATTTGACAATTTTTTTTTTATAAATATTCTACTATATTCACAAAAAAAGTAAAATTTACAACAAACAATAAAAAAATGCATAGAGATGGATAATAAATGCATAAATATAGGGATAATAGGAAAAGAAAAAAGAAAAAAGAACGCAAATGCCTAGGAGAAGTCGTGAAAAACTAAAGTTCTAAACAAAATTGTACTTATGTGAAAAACTGAAATTAATAACCAAAACTTTAGGAAAATGTTTGATCAAATTTTCAAAAGAAGTATATGTTTAGTCTAAAAAATTAAAAAACGAGGCGCCTATATCAAAATGCCCCTAATAATACCTAAACTCCTTATAAATACATACAAAACTCCTTAAGTATGTGAGAATTCATACTCTCAACTCTCGTTACCATTTCAAAACCTCTGTCATTTAACTATAAAGTTCAAAGTTTCAAACCTTGAATGATAACCCAAATCCAGCAGTGTGGGCCACGCATTTTCAGTTCGTTGGACTCTCGGACAACACAAAATATAAACAAAACAAAACACGTGATGGACCTATCAGGCATAAGATAACCCATCTATCGGCCCCAACTACTTATCCCCAATTCAAATTGGGCCTCATAATGGGCCTGTAATTTTGTTTATTCTCCCAAAAACCCGAAGCAAATATCAATATTCCCACAAAGTCCACGGCATCAGTCACGACTCACTGAGTCATCATCACCGCCGACTGATGCCACTCAAACAATGAGATGACGACGACGACGCGAATGGCGATTCTAAACCCGTTGCTGCTGCGTACAGTTTCGTTCCTCTGCGCTCGAGTCCACCACCGACGCCTGGGCCTCGGGCTTGCGGTCCCGAGCGGCAGGGCGTGGTGTAGCGGGGCGAGCGAGTCGACTCGGCCGGAGAGTCTATTGTACCTTGGTGGGCAGGTCTGCACTGAGAGGAGTGCTAAGCGTGAAGGAGCCACCGAAGTACCCTTGCTGGGACGACCCTGACTACTGCAAGTGGAAGGATAAGGAACGGGAGATTTTAAACGACATCGAGCCCGTCGTTTTGCTGGCCAAGGAGATTCTGCACTCTGATAGGTATGCTTACTGTGAGCTTAGCTCGCAACGACGTTGAGCCCCGTCGTTTTACTTTGTGAACTGGTTTTGGTGGTTTGCAGGTATATGGATGGTGAGCGGCTGACGGAGGAAGATGAAAAGGTTGTGGTGGAAAGGCTTCTTGCTCATCATCCACACTCAGAGGATAAAATTGGCTGCGCAATTGATTCTATCATGGTAACTTTTTCTCCTCCACCATTCACAGTCGGAGATTTCCATTAATTGAATGTCTTGTGAAGAATTTAGGTTGGATTGTAATCAAATATATAAAATATTGAGTGTAAGTAACTCATTAGTCATTGCCAATATGTTTTCTGTGGTGTAAATGATGGGTTTTGAGCATCGGTGCATTCGTTCCTTTTGAATGTAGCCTCGAATTATTATTGACTAGGAAGGTCTGTTTTAAATTTGTAGTATCTACCAAGTTGTTTGTTGAAGTGTGAAGGATGGTTTGGAAGACGCGTTGTTGTGTGTCACAGACCACTGTTGGTGTGAATGCACATTGTGTGCCTTCTTTTAAGTATGAAAGTTTATGTTGTATAGAGAAACAAGGCTGTTGATGTTTTCATGAGCGGTTTGGGTCAGCCGAAAAAGGGTTTCAAAGGTTGAAATCATATAAAGAGGGGGTTTAGGGTTTGTGTATTAGTTTTGTGGTGAACATATTGACTGTTGAAGACTAAAACTTGAACATGTTCGAAGGGAATGCGGCAGGTAATTTAAAAGTCATGGTTGTTCTGAAGTATAAGGAGGCCAAGAAGTGAGGGAGTGTGGATTATAGAGATTTAATTGGGGAGAAAAAGGCAAGTGATTCGGGTGGGGAAATAGGTTAGAAAAGCTAGCAAGTTGATGTTCATCCTATTTGCACCAATCCCTTACTCATCACGGCTTAAAAGATTGTGATACTAATCATATTACCCTTATTTATTTAATTCCTTATCTTTATACGCCCTTCTCCCCTTCTCTCCCTGTTACATCCGCCCTTCTCTCCTTCTCCCCTTCTCTCCCTGTTACATCTGCCCTTCTCTCCTTGTTTTCGGCCTGTCTTCTACTATTTTTAATATGCTATTGCTCATGAGTCATTGCAATTTTTGTGTCAACCAAAAGATTTAACAGGAAATTGGTGTCACCAACCAATGTAATAGGAAACCTGAGATGAATGCAAGATGTTAACTCTATTGCAACCGAATAATAAAAGAAACGATTGAAGTATCGCTGCACAAACATCCACAACTAAGAAGTTTATGGCATCTCTTAATGATTATGTGAATAGAAAAGCATTTATCTAGGCTGAAATTTATTTTTGTCCCCCTCTGTGTAAGATGAAGTTCAATGGGAGGCCAGTCACAGGTGCTCTAGCTTAATGAGCTACATGCCTTTGCATTTTTCTTACCACTTTAACCTTTTATAGGGCATGTCCTAAGCAATTGGGCAAGTGTTTGGAACTTTAGATCTGGATGTTTATAACTTATCCTTGACTATATGGGCTTAGTTTTCCCTAGATTATTTATTTCATACCATTTCAATACAATTCAATGATAGCGAAGCTGAAAGTGTAAACTATTAATATTTTGGTGTAACTTTTTTCTGCTGTTTCTTTGGCTACATTTTCCTTAGGTTGTTGGTTCAGAAACAAGTTACGAGTGTAATATGTGGTAGATAAAACTATTTCTATTATTGTTTCTGTATATTTCTGGGACATGAAATTATCTGTCTCTATCTCAAAACTTCTCTTCTTCAGTCTGATCTTTATATTAATAGAACTTAAAATGACTATTGTTGACATTGAGTTTTTAAACTATTTAACATTGCATTTTAAGTTCTTACTGATTTCTGAACCAGTCCTTCGTTCTATATATGATCAACCATGTGTTTTCTGCGATGTGGATTCTTGTGTTTGCCTGTGCAAATTAATCACTTTCTTTGTAACTTGTCTTGCTGAAGGTTGATCAGCATCCCCAATTTAAACGCTCGAGGTGCCTATTTGTCATAAGAACTGATGGTGTATGGATAGACTTCTCCTACCAGAAGTGTCTCCGAGCATATATCCGAGATAAGTACCCATCCCATGCAGATAGATTCATTCAGGAACATTTTAAACGTGGTAGTGGCTAATGTGCATTACTCCTTCCTAACGCTTGTATTGGGGCTTAATTTTGCTTTGGTAGTTACAGATGCGTATGAAATGATATTCAAATTATCCCTTGGAAGGGGAATGTCTTTTCGTTTTCAGATCTTCAGTGACCCACATATAACCTAGAGTTACAAATTGTCAATGTAGTAGATAATCCTTGACTGAAACTCACATGTATCTTTAAGAATGACAACTAAGAAAATGATTGAAGTTGACTTCACTTTGTTGACTTGCATCTCCTTTCCTTGGCCTTGAACATGTTTTTTTAATTTTATGACTTTTGGTTTTTTCTGTCTTTCCTAGGACCTGCTTTTACTGGGGTGGTTGATTTACTTAGCTTTGCACCTGTAAGTCCTCAAAGCTCATTAGGTAACAACCTGGCTCTCTCATTGATTAGAAGCTTCATCAATCGTTTTAGCATAATTAGAAAATTCAGACGGAGGAAAATATGTGAGTCCTTTGTCGGGCGTTCAAGACTTGTGCCAGTATAGTCCATCACTCTGAAGATGTTCGATGTGGTGATCAATGGTCTTATAGCTTTTTGGCTGACCTTCAACGGAGATAATAACTTTGCATTGTGACAACTATTGATGATATTTGTCTCTATGTTTGGCTGCGATTAATAAGAAAAAAACTTCGGTAAGGTAGACTGACTTGAGGAGTTTTCTCATATGGTGGGTCGGGTGAGACCAAAATACATAGGGTCCATGAGAGCTTCCCTACAGATGATAGTCGAGCACCCTTAGCCTAGTTTTTATCGTGTTTAACGGGCCGGCAATGGATGGTCCATCCAATAGGACTTGGTCTTGATCAGTTTAGGTAGTATCATGAGTGAAGATATGGAAATTTTGTAGTCTGACAGCTTAGAAGTCTGATAATTTGAAGTCATTTGCCTTCGTGGTCCCGTACTTTTTACCAACTAGTAGAAATCCAGTAGTTGAGACTGGTACTGTGAGTCAAAAGAGTCAAGCTCTCACAGATGAACGTTGTCTAGACTCTATGGGACTTTCTTGAGTACTCCGGAGTATCAGGTACTCTGGAGCACCCAAGATTATTTGCGCTGTCAAAACCGTGAAATGGCTGCAGGAATGTGGTTAATGTTGAAGACGAACATCATATTTCTGGTGGTAAATTATGCTCAAAAGAAATGCTCCCTATTGTTTCCACAAAAAAAAAAAAAAAAGAAAAAAAAAAAAAGAGAAATGCTCCCTACAGGCAGTTACCCTTCAAACATATTTATTCTTTGAGACTTAGAAACAGGGACTTTCCCTCAAGGATGTTTAATGCTTTGTGGTCTAAAAATGTTTGGAATATTCTCAACTTTAATGTTTCCCCACCCATAAGCTTTTACTTTGCCTTAATTTTTGAACAACACACAAAGATAGTAAAACCAGCTGTTTCCCTCCTCTTTTGATGTGATATATAAATGCACTCAAATTTCACCCTTCCTCTCATTTCTTGTACCATTCAAAAAGAAGGGAGTGAATATTAGCCAATTAATCTTTCTTGAGGATCATATATGGTTTAGTTTTAACGTTACTCATTTCAGGATATTAAATCAGTACTAGAGTTAGTCGCGCATGCTGATCTTGACTGTTAATGCTTGTGAGATTTACGATACATCAATGGCCAGAATCACCTCATGCCCACACCATCGACTTGAAGCATTGGCTAGAGCGTTGAATGGTGGCTAGGAGGCCTCACTATAGAAACTATGGGGTAATGAAATAATGGGAAATCTAGTGTAATTAATTATGGGCTTTTTAGTTAAAATGGTCATGGAGATTGACATAACTCTTCACTTCGGTTTCTGATATTTAAAATTGATAGAAGTAGTCCCTCATATTGTCTACCATCAATTCTTTTGATCATTTCGTGAAAGATTTCTGTTAAATTGAGAGTATTTTTGTCAAATCAGTCCCTTCACTAGAATATGTGGTTTTTCAATTTAATAGAGATTTTTCACTAAATGTTCAAAATAATTGACAGTGAATAATCTCAGGAATTATTTTTATCAATTTTAAAACTCAAAAATCAAAGTGAAGAGTTATGCCAATGAGTTATTTTTGCTAAAAAAAAGGTATTAATTATATAATGCATGTATTAACTATAGTGTTTGAGGATTAAGAAAAAGGTGAATAAGAGAAAAGGTTGCTCGTTTAGGTCAACTGTCTTCCATTATCGTGCATGGTTACAGTCAATATGAGCAACTTCTGTAGGGTGGTGCCATAATTACTGGACAAACATCATCATTAGGTTTGCCTACTGTACTTGGTGGGCCTCCCGCTAATTCGAGAGTGCCACACAGCTGGAATGGAGGATCCATGTGGGACGTAACCCCTCACACTCCATATAGCACATTAGTTTTCTCTTTTGCTTGCAAGACATGGGGGTTGAAAGATCTTTAGCGATCTTGAATCATAGACTTTCTTTGGAACGTTACTGCGGTGGTGTTTCAAGTTTAGGTTGCACCTGCAATGTTTGAACGGCCTGGTTGAGACTCACTGTACTAGTGCATGTGGAACGTTTTTTCTTACACGATTGAACTTCAACGCATGATAACACATTATTTATTTAAAATACCGTTACAATAGCAATCCAAATAAGTAGGGCAAGTACGCGTCAATGGTGAAGCAGAGCATTTGGGTGATGGATTGTCTGCCCTTCCCCATCCTATGCTCTTTTATTTTTGTGGTCACGATTAAGCCACATCAACATTTTATATTTATTTATTTTTATAGAAATAATAAGATAAAAAATAATGGAAATATAAAATATTGATGTGGTTTAACCGTTACCATAAAAATAAGAGGAGATGAGAAATGAATGAGATGGGAAGGGCAGACAATCCATCTTCGAGCATTTGAAGGGTTGTGATATGTGCAAGGGTCTAATCAAGTATCAACCACGAGCTATGCGGATGGTTTGATGAGTTCCAATAAAGGCCTTTACTTTCCGTTGGGGTGATTGAAGGAGGTGCATTGTCTGTCCTCTCATTTCCATACTCTTCTTATGTCATTCTGTTTGTGTGGTCACGGTTAAGTCACGTCAATATTTTATATTTTTATTATTTTTTATTTTATTATTTTTATAAAAAATTAATATAAAATATTAACGTGGCTTAGCTGTGACCACATATCACATAAGTGCATAGGAAAAATATGAAAATGATAGGGCAGACAATTCCTCTCCGTGATTGAAATTTATGCAAGGAAAATGAACCACTTTCTGAGTTTTCTGAGGAGTGGGCATGTCTGACTTTGACTAGAATTATGAAGGAAGAGGTATTATTGTTTACAAATCTGAGAAAACAAAACAAACAAAAAAAAAAAAGAGAAAAGAAATTGCCAATGATCATATAAAAAGTAAAAGGAAAAAAAAAAAAGGAGATTGCTTTGAAGGCTTTCTAATAGTAAAACAGTGCCAACCTTTGTTCAGTTCTGGTTGATTTTTGGAGGGGTGTTTTTGGTATACGCCAAATTCCACGAAGCATCCATTTTCATGCGATTTTATGAATAATTATTTCGTGGTTAAGTCCGTTACTAATCTTAGTATACATCGAATTTTGCACTGAAATTCTTCTACGTTCATCACTTGCATAGGTAAATTGATCTTTCAAACCTGATTTATATTTAAAACACGCTTAGATGGGCTCAAAGGACATTTCTGCCCTTGAAAATGATGGTTACACGATAATTCACATGAGCAAAATTGAACTCTCTCTCGAGGTTAGTTGATATAGCGAAAGAGAATTGGGTAACTCCTTAGATTAAAATATATTTATCATTTTATAATCATAAAAGTGATAGAACTTAGATGTAAGGTTCGCTTTAAATCAAGATTTTATATTTGTAACCGAATGATTTAACGACATAGTTTTACTACACAGAAGTAACGTTGACATATGAATTATGAAAACACACTACATTGATGATTTGTGCAATTTCGCCTTTGTTGTATTGTGTTAAAAATTCAAGCACCACGATAAGGATTTTTATGGGACGGATACACCATTGTTTTGGTGTTCAATGTCAATATAAAATGAAGTATGAGTTTCCTTTTATATATTATTATATCATTAAGACGAAATGTTAAGATAACGTCCTAACTCTGCTTGGTAAGCTGCTCTCCACCACCACAAAATCTACCAACAAATCCATGAAAGTCTAATTTGATGCAGAGTCCCACACTACAAACTGCAATAGCACCAACACTTTTTGTCCTACCTTGGCTCTCTAGCTTCATTTCTCGATGAATGCACCACAAGTAGGAGAAATAAGACTAAGATGACAAAGATGAAAGAAAAGAAAGAAAAAGAAAACAAAAGAACGCTACATCTCAAAAGAAAAAGACCTAGAAGCCCTCCACGTGTCCCCTTTTCTTCCTTTCCTCTCTTTTTGTTTGCATGGCATAGCGGGAAATACACAGAGAAACTTGAAGACATACACTGATACGCACATACTCTATCTCTCTCTCTCTCTCTCTACGCCTTCTCTCTCTTCTGTAATGGTTTGCTGCTGTAAACATAATGGTTGACTGCAGTGCAGAAAGAGAGAGAGAAGAGAGGGAGAGACCAACTTTTCGTACAAAAGAGGAACTGAGTTGTCCTGCGCTGCTGGTGGGATAGTAAATTCTACTGGGAAGTGTGTAATTGCAAGAAACACACACACACACACACACACGGGGACAATGAAAGCCAACTGTGGGTAGATACCATACTTAAGTAATTCGTTTGTTTAGTTGCTTATTACAATTATATAATATACACGGATTATCTTTGAAGAAAATATATATATTGAATATCCAACATACATTCATTTTACTTATACTTTATATCAAATATTATATAAGCAATAGTGCTCTTATTCTGTCATTCAAACTGTAAAAAACTCTCCCCCGTCTATCCTATACTTATATTTTTTTCATCAATTTGCCACTTTCCACTACTACATTGAAATTTTTGTAACATTAGAATTGTGATACATCATTATTTGATATCATCCTTAATATCATATTACGTATAACCATACTATAATAAGATTTTCTTAGTTGTTTTCAGTTACCTCTATAAGAAGAAATTTATGGCTATGTTCCTGTACATATAGACACAGCCACATATATAATCGATTATACAAAGAGATAATAGTACGGTAAAGTTTAACCTTAAAAAGAAACATAAAAAAGGATAATTAATCTGCGTTTCATAATCTTAAACCTTAA